CTGCCACTCTTACTGCTTGTCAGCAAATCGACCTATAGCTGCAGATGAAAACAGCACACATGCAAAAAAAAAAAAAGGAAAGGGAAGATAAAAGAGGAGGGAAGGACACATGCCGGCAGTTGGGCCACAAAGTGGAGATGAAAATAATATTTTTCATTCATTAACTTCCATCTGTGGTGGCTTTTTTTTTTGTTTTTTTTTTTGCTCGATAATTCAGTCGCTGCTGTCAATGGGTGCTCTGCTGCGGCAGGTGTGAGGCGCAGAGGAGCAGACATCATTGGGCTAATTTATAGTTTTCATTTATTGTCTTCATCATCCCATTATTGGCCACCACACACAGACACACACACACACACACTCAAGCAGACAATGGCACCCCTGAGTGGGTCCAGAAGGTATAATAGTCGTGCTCCTGGCTAACCTCAGTGTAGTGTGTCTCGTTACTGTTTGCAACACAATCAGGCCCTGCTCACCTCCGCAGCGGGGCTCTTTGGCTTGACTCATACTGTGTGCCTATACATGTGTGTGTGTGTGGGTGTGTGTGGGTGTGTGTGGAGTTAATAGATGTTCAGAGACCAGTACGTAGGAGTGTTGCTCCTGCTGTGTTGTGTTTTGCAATTCATATCTGAGCCCCGGAGTACTATGGAATCAGTAGCACAAGTCAGCTGTGATGAGACACACACACTTTTAACATTTACCATGAGGCACATGGGCGCACACACACACACACACACACACACATACACACACACATTATTTGCCATTGTCCAGAGAGAAGAGAGAGAGGGTGGGTGATGGCAAATGGGTGGGGTGTTTCCATGGTGACCAGGGCGACAGAAGGAAGAGGGGGTTCGCCTCCTGACCCTCATTGAGAAGTTGAATGAGCTAAGCTGAGGCAAGGCAGCCAGTAGTCAGAATACTAGAGACAAGAGTGAGGGAGCGAGCGATCGGCAGCCATGTAAGCCCGTCATGGCTGTGGGCCGTGCGAGCTTCAGTGGTCAGTCTGAGGCACTTAGCATTAGCATCAGAAAGACATTATGCTAATAGCATCAAAGGCAGCAGCCCCCGCCTTTGTGTTTCCTGCGCCAACCCAAGGGCACGGCAGGATTTTACATTTCAACCACCGTTCCAGGCCCGAACTCCCAAAGCATTTGCATGAAGATGAAATAACAAATAGGAAAAATGTGATGCATTACACAAATGTTGAAGCACGGCCAAGCTGCTAAAGGTCTGACAGTTCAAAGGCGGCAAGAGGAAAGGCTTCAAGGGTAAAGCGCACTAAAGTCAGTACCCAGTGCAGAACAGAGAACCAAAGTGAAACCAGATCGTCTGTTCCTCTTGTGCTTCAGAGGAAGAAAACCTATGTCAAAATCTAAAATACATGAATAATATTGATAACTGGATATTATTGGATAATATATTGAACCCCAGGAACATTTTTCAAAAAGATCTGGGAAAATAAGGAGGTGGCGCTGCGAACATTCATCTTGCTACAGAGGTAAAGGACATATTTGTAAGTTTTGCTATTGCTACATAGCTAGCGTTAGCATTAACAGCTGTTTACTTACCAGTCTAGAAGGAACATTGTTCAGCATCAAACTTCATTCCTTCACTCAACAAGAGCTGTCTCCAGTGGAGGAAAGCAACGCCAATGTTAACTCTTGTCTCTATCATGTCTTTTCTTCTACTGAAGTTAGCATGCTAACCAGCTAGCTCCGGCTCTCAGCGGCAGAGAACATATATATACAAACCATATTGAATTAATATGAATTTTAAAATCTAGAGCTAAGCAAAAATAAAAGCTGGACATAAAACTCATTTCTAGCTTATTTTGGAGGTTTGTTAATACTTTTGTTTGGACTAAATTAATGTTTTCATGGGATTGAACGACTATTTAAAGACTGCAAAGGCAACAAGTCACCTGATACTAACACTCTTTTGCAATGTGATACCTACAGAGTCAGTGGGGCGATGCACTCGTGTCCTTTGTTTTTGAGAAGCAATTTGTTAAGCGTCCCATTTACACCCTGAAATTGGAGAATGGAGGCCTCTTCCAGCGGACAAAATGAAATATCACAGGATCTGGCGATCACAGTATTTATTCCACCCAGCGTGTTATATGAACTCTGTCCTCCTTAACTACCCTTTAAGCCGACGAGAATGACAAATAACAAAGGGGAAGAGGATCCACCTCCACATGAATCATTTCAGTCAACACCTCTGACATTCGACTGACAAACTGCCGCTGCTCGGGAGAATGCAGAGGAAGATGCCACAGAAGAAGAAAAAAGTGTCGGCCATTGAAAAAGAGGGAAGAGAGTAACCTAGGTAACGGAAGAAGAGGTTCGTTCGGGGGTGTCGGGCCTGAGCGCACAAGAAGAGGAGGTGAATGGAGGGAAGAGAAAGAGGAGAGAGAGAGACTCAGTCACCTTGGATGAGTCACCAAAAACACATCAGCACTTCATACAGAGGCATATTTACAGTACAATAGTCCTCCCCTCTCCGTCTTCCCCTCTTCTGGTTTAGTCAAGCATCACGACGCACATCCCCACACAGTGTCACCCTGTGAAAGAAATGTCATGGTGCGCAGACACAAACTCAAACTGGATGAAAACAGCATTTAATTTAATTTCTCATCCCTCCAAATTGGCTTGTTATTGGATTGAAAAGGTGCCCTTGACCAACACCGCTGTGACTCGCCGCAGTGAGGATGTTCATCATCAAAACACACAAGAACGGAGTTAAAGGGTAAAGACAGGCTAGAAATGAATAGCAGGGCAACAGAAGGGACTGACAGCATTGGTTTAAAGAAGTTCCAGGTGCTCCGAGTTAAAAACAGGCCTGTTTGCATCTTTACTGAGGAGTAGTGGTACACTGTGAGGTGATCGCTACGTCTACTCTGCTAATGGCGTCGCAGGTTTCCATTCTCTTTAGGTACATAGGACACTTGTGTGCATTTGTTTACTAGATACTGAGAACCCACCTGAGATCTGGGTCAGGTCCAAGTGCAAACTGTACTTAACTCGGGTCAGTTGGATAAGGTTGTATTGCTTAATATGTCTAATATTTGATGGCACTTAATCCTGTTTGGAGAAAATATGTTTTGTTTTTTTTTATTCAAAGACAGACATTGTGAATTGTGAAGCACATGCATTTATTTCTTTTCAGCCGCGGCTGCTCAATAATTGATGTTGCATCATGCTGCTGGCAGTGTTGGTGTTCTCTCTCTGTATTTGGGTCTGTTCGGGGTGGTTGCATTTTGAATTGGGTCTAATTATCCTTGGGTCTACTCGGATCAAGTGTGGCTGTCCTTGGGCCCCTGTTGGATCAGGTTCTTCTTTGTTTTACTTTGTGTAATGAATTGACAGTGTCATAAACTCTGATAGCTTCTACCTCTATCTCTTTTATTACTCCCATTTAAACAACATTTCCCATCAACACTGTTGGCTTGGACACCAGCTTTTTCCTCTTTAAACCACACTAACCCACCATTTGACGATTGTTCATTTATTTTTTTAATCACAGTGGATATAATTAGAATTTTATGACACTTATCAAAAGATTAACTTTTTTTAATATTGGTTGTATGAACATGGAAATTAAATGATCCATACAAATAAAATGCACAAGTACACTGAACTCATGCACAAGCAGGAACATCGTTATTCCTTGGAAGAAAACTCGGATGCTCATGCACTAGGCGAGCAATATTCATGGAAGTGACTGGGCACCATGTTTGAGTCTGGTATCCAGTTCTTAATATACATCCATGGTTTTCAGTCTTTGTGCTAAGCTAAGCTACTTCATATTTATTGTACAAATGATTCCCTGAAGAACTAAGAATGAAAAGTATTAACCATGGTTATGTTATAGGAGAATGAGCCTATTTGCATTGTCTTAACTAAATTATAACACCCACAGTTCATGCAACACCTAAGGTTTAGAGACCAAATAAGAAACAGACCTCTCTGTCTCTGAAATCTGGCCTCTCCTCTCCTCCTCCCCCATTAAAAGGTGGAGGCTGAGTCCTCACTAAACCACAGTTGACTAAATGAGACGCGCGTATGGAAATCCTCAGGGAAATGTGACAGCAAGGGAAGAGGGCTGTCTGTATTACCCTGCGGCATAGATCACAAACCAATAACAGGGCTCATTTCCCTCCTTCTGTCCCAGAGGATCGGTCTCCACGGTCAGAGGGGCGTGTCACTGTGGTTAAGCCCCAGCAGGAGGAGGCGTGTTGGGCCGCGAACTGCCTGATGACACAGCCCTGTCTGTTTCTGGGGCATCCGTCCCTGTCTTATAGATACCGTGGGTAGACACACACTTACTCAGGCAGTGTATAGTTACAATACAAGACGTTGTGGAGACGACACTTGAGCTGAATGACCTCGAGCATGTTACTGACACTTCATCATGTTCATGGAGGTCATGTCTGCAGGTGGTCCAACAACACATTTACTCATGTTTTAATCCTTTATGTTCACCCTCAAATTATATTTTTGGGGTTTTAAAACAAATTCTACAGATATAAATTAGAATTATTAATCAATTAATTATTAATTTTTCAGCAATATACTTTGATGTTGATATTGACATTCATTCCTGAAAAATATTATAGGGGAAACATGTAGCACAGTATATGTTGCATTGCATTTTTAAAGATACTTAAATCGTCAAATATTTTGATCACATTCCACATTGGCAGAGAAAACCGTCCTTGGATTCCACTCTTTAGGTGTAAGCCCATCCTGCTGTACTTATATATTTTTAGTATTAGTTTTTCAGTGTGTATCAACTTTAGGCGATCTTTATATATTTTATTCTTTATTTTAGATGGAAGCCAACAAATACTCGATGAAACTGTATTAATTGTTGCACCTTTATAACAAATAGTCAATAATTCTGAAGCACATAAACATCCTGTATGCAACTTATTTGATTCAACACTTCTATCCAAAAATATAAGATTACCATTGTAACAAAAGGGACTAAACACAATATCAGTCCAACAAGGATAATTTATTAACAAACATTATAGTACAAACAAGTTACAAATAAAGAGTGGACACATTTCTGACCATGTGATCAGGCACAGTAGTACCTTCAAATAACATTTGCATTCAATTATCATGGCCATTAGAAACCTGAGCTTGATACAAAATGTTATGAACTGTGTGTGGTACAAATGCATGTTGCACAATGATTAGGAAGAATTACAAAAAGTAGAGTTTAAGAGTATAAATACACTGTATGTACAACTGATGGGGTAAATCTGTTGATGCACAATCAGACAGGCGCTGTAACATTTTTGTCTGTACAGTTGGGAGCTGTAGACATATTCTGCTGCAAACTCTGTGTCCATGCATCAAAGGGGGCATTAAAAACAAATGTGTCTCTTGGCAACATAACAAGCCAGCACAGAAAAAACTATTTGTTTCTCCTTTCTAGTTCTCCCGTATACTTGCTGTTGATTTGCATTCCTTTAAATGAAGTTTAGAAATTAAAAGAAGAGAAGGGATTTGGCTGAGTCAGGGTGCTGAGCAGAAAGAAAAGCGTCTCCCTCAGGATACTGGTCAGCAACTGCATCACAACATTCATGAAAAATAATAACTTGGTATTTTCATATTCCGCTGGCACCCACACAGGATCCAATTTGCTCAAACTCCATCCAGGCTTTCATTTTTTTTGAGGGTCACAGATTGAAGGTCGGGGGGTCATGGTGTAGGTGTCACTAGGAGGGGGCATCTTCTCCATGTATAGCCTTGTACTTGGACATTTCTTCTGGAAAAACTTTGCTGAGCTCTGAGATGAGAAGGCTCTTGAATTTCTGCAGTAAAAGGAAATACAACAGCAGAAGTTAGTTTATTATTGGTTTATTATTTATTTTCATTTTATGCGAAAAATAACTAAGATTTTGTACATTTGTACCAAAGACACAGTAACTTAAGACCTGATCAGTAAAACCTGACTTGTTCTTAACTGCATTTCCAAATAATGCAGTTGAAATGTTAAACACACCTGAATATAGAATAAATCCATAAATCAACTGTTTTGTGAGGCAGAGCTTCTACTGAACTTCAAAAGGATTTTAGCATTGTGTCCAAGGACAATTCATTAATTATCAACAGACAAAGCCACTATAACAGTGAGGGCTATCTACAGCATATGCCTTTTTGTATAATGAGGATGATCCTTGAAAGGGAACTTCATCTTTTTGTGAATAACTAAATATGCTTAGGAGTATTTAATCAGTGAACTGTTTTGAAGGCTTTGTTTAGTCTTGTAGTGTCATTGGCAGGGAATGTTAGCAACATTATCTCTTACCGTCATAGTGTCGATCTTCCCCTTGACTTGCTCGTTCCTCGCCAAGGCTCTCTCCAAACATTCCTTGGTGTACAGCTGAGGGTTTCGACCTTGGTCAATGTATCTACAAACACAGGGCATAATACCAGCTGAACTATGAAGCATAGATAAGGTATTATAAACTCCATTATCTAAATATGGTAAATTGGTCCAAAATATATGACACTTTATGACACCGTTTTCCTATATGACTTTGACTTTTTGATGTGGCATGTGATGTATTTAATAAATAATAAATAGAAAGACAAATTAAATGAATAAAACGAATAAATGATAACAAGATGTGACAGAATAAAACAGAATCTTTATTTCAGTAAACGTTTTGTTTGCTTATTTTATGTTAACAATCCTAATCCACCTAATCCGAGTACACCATGAGGAGTGGCAACAAATAGAGTGAACCAGTTCTGACAGTTGAAAATGTTATTTTTGTAATATGTGTATACCGAATATTAAAGTAGTTCACAACAATCAAGAATAAATGTATTATCAGGACGGTAACATTACCAGATTTTCGGGGCAAGGAATGAAAAATAAAATTGTAGGATTTACGAATGGGGTTTGGCGTGGCATTGACACGGAGCTAAATGTATTCTCTCAACACAACAATATGCATATGTATGTGACATAGCAATGCCAGAGAAAACCGGAAGTGTAAAGACAAGGCGACAATGTAGCTTATAAAACCGGACAGGCACAACAATGTAACGTAAAGGACTCACTCAAAGACCTCCAGCGGTACGTTGATCTCATGAAGCTGTTGACGGCACTTCTCGATGTCTTGTAGACCAGATATCATGAAATTTCTGAAAAGAAAACACAGCAGAACGGGTCAACATACTGTTTATTTACGGACTGGTACCGTGTTAACGAGCTCGACAAAACATGACTCACAGTTTCTGGTTGAGTCCTGCCTGGCTGCTAGGCTGGAAGTCGCTGACGATGATTCCCAGCTGTCGAATATTCTCGATAAATTTCTCCAGATGCTCCTCCAGGTTGTCAAATTTTTCAGCCATGTTAATCAACTGTTACTTAAGCACTAAAATAAATAGAAATCACTCCGTTTAGGAGAGTCCCTTGGTCAAACAAACGCTGTTTACTGTTAGCCACCGACAAGACGACAGCCACAGCGTCGAAGTACTTTACGGCAGTAGAATAGCCAATTGCTGCGGGTACTGTTCTGCTACCTAGGTAACAAACAATGACTGACTGCCGTTTTCCGGCCCTTAGAGGCTCAAAGTGTCGTGCTGCGTGTTGGGAAGAGGCTTCTTTGTGAAGAGCATAAAATGAACTGAGTTCGGCACTGCAGAGTAACTTAACTGCATCTATAACAGCAGCTGCACCGAAGGTAAATAGCATGTTTATTTAGATAACACTGCAAATATATAGCCTATTATTCATTTGGAAATATGTCCTTATCAATTATGGTAGTCTGTCATGAAAATTCTCAACCTAAAAGAGTGCAATGTTGTTTCAAAGTGTCAATTAAATTCTAAACTCAGAAGCAGAAACACACCTCTTGAAGGAAAGGCCTAACACCAGAGTTATCATTTATAAAATTCAGTCATAAACTAATCCTTTCATGTGTGACTGAAATTACTGTCAATAATTCCTGAACGTGTTCTGAGACAGTCAATTGTTTGTAAAAGGTGTTTTCAGACTTCACTGTTCATTCTCCACTGTGACTTCTATAAAACTACACTATCTTACTGATAGACCTGTGTTTCCATGCTATCATTATGTTGGCAGAATTAATTTTCTTTTCTATTTGCTGTGTGGAAACGAAGCAGGGCAATGAGGGGGTGAGCAATTACTTAAGCCATTAATCTGTGTGAAATAAGGTTTGCACATCTTAATAATATTCTGAATAATACATGTCTTTATAGTTGTATAGGTCAGTCCTAACATTAAGGGCTGAAGATTGTAGTTTACTCTGATATTTGAATATTCTTAGTCATTCATTAATCTGTAAAATGCACGCACTGACAGAACTGGTGTAAATGGGAGTCTGAAAGTGAAAGTGAATGTCAATATTGTTGAGACTACATTCCTCTGGCATAGTTAACCTGCCAAGTCTCTATTCTTCCAGGTAAACACAGGAACGCCAAGTTAGCAGGGTTAGCCAGAATAAACCCGGAAATACGCCATAAACCTTCAAAATAAAAGCAATGTTATTGTGTTTAACAGTTAAGGCAACTTGGCTGGTCAAGGGACTGATTTAGTCCCTAAATGCACTACAACAAACTATAACGATATTTTTTGTGTATGATACAGTTTATGATACAGCAATAATACAATACAGTTTTTAATTTCTGACCCTAAAAGAGGTTTCCCAGATACACTGTTGACTGTAGATTATGATTAACAATTATGATTAACAATTATTCTATATTTGTATCAGTTGCCTAAACATTTATTTGATAGCTGTAGAACTGCTCTGTAACTAACTAACTAATATTTCACATTTTCTTTGTTTTTTTCTGTGTGATTCATTCTTGGTGTATTGGAGCCATTGTTATGTTTATAGTATAAAACCTACGCTTTGCTAGAGGCTATTCAAGCTCTTTTTTCCCCTGTAAGAAATAATTAAGTATTATATAATATATAATAAGCATTGTGTGGTTTGCTGTCCATTTTCATTATACACCCAATAGTCATTGGGTTTATGTAGTATTAAAGATGTATGTGGGCTTGGGAGTTTTACTGGAAAATGCAACAATTTAAAGTAGCTTAGCTGATTTGTTATGGTCCTAATTGTAATGGTAATTACCAACTGGGATATGTCAATGCTGTAATTTCATATAGCCTAAACCATGTTCCCCCATTGGTGCTTGGTTTTCCTTGAACGTAACCTAACTCCGGGGCTTTTATTTTGAAAAAACCAAACTGTTGCAGCGCTTCGCCGGTGTGGACAGACTGGCTCAGAGGCATTACCGGGGGCTGGCTCGTCCTGGGCTGCATTAAAGCTGGAGCTGCCGCAGCTGCACTACACACATCAAAGGCTCTCCTCCACACTGCAGCGCTCACCGACGGCAGGTCTACTGGATGGTGGAGCCATATCTTCTTTTTTCCTTACACACAGTCCGGGCTACATCACGGGACATAACACGGACTTACTCCGGATTTTAATCGTCCTCGGTAAGCACGGTCTGCTGTCGGATTGCTGGTCTAATATCGGGTCTGTGTGGGCAGGAGGAGACGCGTAAGGGGAAAATCTATGGTGGTCTTATGATAAGGACTTACAGTTTATGTTTGATGTGTTACGAACGCCTGTAGAGATCTTATAGTCACCTTCATTGGTTATTTTTATTCTCTATGATGATACAGTACATGCATTTTATCCTTCAATACCCTGTCTTGTAGCCTGTATGGTTCCCTCTGTGATTTTCCTACGGCATATTCCTGCACTATGGTATAATGTTTAACGTGTAATTACAAGATCACCTCCGTAGTTCTGCGTAATGCATCGTCCTATCATGGAACAACTGCAGTCACAGTCATGGTGTCGGTCCACTTGCAGGAAAAAAAATGACCAAATTCCATTGATCTGTTTTGAGCATTTATTTTTGGTGTTGTCTGTCATCTGAACTCGCATTTATTTGCTGTTTCATTGTGTTTGATTTTTAGTCGAGCTGATGTCGAGATGATGCACTGAGGAGAAAACAGCTCAGGCTCCCCGGTAGTGTTCATCCTGAGGCTGCAGTGAACGGAGGGGGGATTGCGGTACAACAAGGTTAATAATCACCATCAATAAAGGTCGTCTCTGTGAGCGGGAACCGACTTGAAAGGGTGAATCTCGCCCCTGTGCGGGGGGATCGGCGGAGAAATATAGATCTATAAAAAATTATGGCCACCCTACTGCGGAAGATCGGTCTGATCCGTCTGCACGACCGAGACACCGAGGACCCAAAGCACCACCAGGGCTCGTTAAAGGGGACCAAAGGGAACCAGAAAAACAACGCCAACAAACACTGTCAGACCGCCAACGAAACCAACATCCTGAGCACCCCGGAGATTAAGGCGAGGAAGCTGGACCAGCACGGCAAGGACAAGCCGACCGGCAAGGATAAGCAGGGCAAGGATGCGAAGGAGAAACAGCAGACGGGAGGAGGCGGGAGTAAAGCGACCAGTGCCTCCTCGATAGCACCGCTGGCGCCTCATCGGCAACACTGCACCCAGGTCCGGACGCGGAGGCTGATGAAGGAGCTACAGGAGATCAGGAGGTTAGGGGACAACTTCATCACGGTGGAGCTGGTGGAGGACAACCTGTATGACTGGAACGTCAAGCTGCACCAGGTGGACAAGGACTCGGCGCTGTGGCAGGACATGAAGGAGACCTGCACCGAGTTCATACTGCTCAACGTCACCTTTCCCGACAATTTCCCCTTCTCGCCGCCGTTCATGCGGGTCCTGACGCCCCGGTTGGAGAACGGCTACGTGCTGGATGGCGGGGCCATATGCATGGAGCTGTTGACCCCCCGCGGATGGTCCAGCGCCTACACGGTGGAGGCGGTCATGAGGCAGTTTGCAGCCAGCCTCGTAAAAGGACAGGTGAGGGGAGGAAGGGGCTGGTGGGTGAGGGTCCTTGCTTGGAATATCATCACCCACACGACATGTTAATCATCTCTGCTACCTTTTATTTTAAGCCATGACACGCACTGGATATGAGCAATTCCATTAGGCATCCATGCGTCATATGTAATTAACGTGTGAAACTGCTTTTATGCACATACAACATATGTCCACCATACAACACATGTCCACCATGCCACGACTTTTAGTCTATGGTCTATATGAAGTTTTAAACCATTAGGTTATTTCTTTTAATTCAATTAATTAATCTCATCTGGCAATTATAAGCTCCTGAATCAAGTGTCATTTTTGGACACCAGTGGAGAGATCACCAGTGGAAAATCCTGAAACAAGTGCATCCAATTAGGTTTTACTTTTTTAATTTTTTAAAGAGGAATATCATTACAAGAAAGAAATATTTGGTCAAATTGGCTTATATTCTGTATCTGTAGACTATTTACAGCCTTTCCTATCACTGTGTGAGCTGTAGGTGCTGCACTGTAATATCTCAGACCTCTTGTCTCCTCACCTGCCCTCCTCTCTGCTATGAGCAAACCCATGATTGTGAATATTATTAATCTTTATGGGACTTTATGGCAGCCATTTCATGTAGTGCAACGCTCAGTATCTCGATGCCAGCTCCTCTCTGCAGTCCCGCTTTATCACCTACATAAATCAGCTTCCTTTGACAACAAAAGACCTGCTGCCATGCAACGGAAAAGTCCCCATGCAGCTTGTAATGCAGTGTCACAATAGCTGTGCTCCTATCAGATTATTATAAAAGGGGAATAAGAGAAGTATTCAACACGTGCAGAGTGTGATAGAAAAAGCTGGGATGGAGAAACAGATGAATAAATAGAGACAGCAGGTAGCTTACCTACCAGCAGTCCTCAATGACTTAGACTGACTGGATTATGTAATCCTGTCAAATCTGTTTTTCACATCTTCAGTGCACTGCAGCAGCAGCAGCAGCAGCAGCAGCTCCTCTGCATTTCCAATGGAAATAGCTGCATCTCTAAATGCACTCCAGGCTATAATCGTTTGACTAGATTTTTCTATTTTCCACCCAGATAGGAAAGATTGTTTTCTAATGTGTTTTTTAATGCTCACATTTGTCTCACTTTCCAGTCATTTCATCCGTAGAGTCCGCTTCATGCACCTCACTCACTCTCTTTTGACGTCACAGTGTGACGGCGCTGTGGCAGGAGACCTTATGTAAACTGTCAATGGATTCTCCTGCCCAACCTCAGTGCTTTTTTTTTTTTTTAGCTTTGATGATATAACTTAACATTATTCCCGAGTCATCTGTGGTCATTAAGCATCTGCTACCAAGAGAGGTCATGCAAAACTTGTACCCAAAGCAGAGAGAGAGAGAGAGAGAGAGAAAGAGAACGATGTGTGTGTGCTCATCTTGATTTGCTGCTTGAGGAGATGAGCTAGCGGCTCTGCAGTGCTCCCTAATTATGGTGCAGTGTCTTCCATCTCCAGTTTGCTAATGGAAACAATATTGATTAATTATTCCTGTGTGTGTGTGCATCTCTTTATCTCTTTGTTTGCCTCTTCTGTGGGTGTGTGTCTACACATGTGCCTGCACGCGTTTCATGTCCTAATTTTCTCGACGATGCACTTGTCTCTCATGCATCATGACAAACAGAGCACACACAGCTATATATAAACCTAAACACACACACACAGAGAATATATCTATTTGCACCGGGACCCTGTGACAATAGTGTCCTGGCTTGTTTAGAAGCTCCCGCACTATTTTTAGTGTGAGAGGATACATGCGGTGACACAGTGGTGAGGTGAAAGTCAACAAAGCTACACATGTCCTCACCAGAAGATGTGAGGAAACACACACACACACACACACACACACACAATCACAGAGGTGAGGACGCGGTAAGGTTTTAAGTGGTTTGACAGAAGTAAAAGCGATCATTAGTCTCCTTCAGATACTTCTCATTTTAAGATAATCACTGTCATAGAGCAATCTATCTTGAGTGGCAGTAAATTTATCCCAGGTGTGCAGTGGTAGAAAACAGTGTGGGCAAACTCAGCATCAGGTTGAATACAGGCACCTTTGTAGCATGAGCCAGTCTGGAAATTGATCTGTGTTGCTGTATTGTTGTCTTTACAGCAGTGTTTGGAAAGTACATCAGTGTCATTTCAATTATGGTGCATTTAATACTGAATATAACCTGTTCCGCTCCTGTCACTTTGCACTGCAGGCGCTTCTAATTAGATTTCTTTGTTGATTTCTATAAAAAAAAAAAAAAACTAAGGAATCCCACCAGTTATCAATCACTTGTACTGACAAAGTTTTTATCTTCAGACCTTTATTATGTAAAATTCAGTGTTGTCATTTTTGTTATTTCATTATTATTCATCTCAAAATATAAACCACCTGTTGTCAAATATAGCTTGAAATGAGCAGCTATCAAGAGCCATTAATAGACACCTGAAGGAAACAGATGTAACACAAGTTTCCTGGTGGATTTTTGACAGTTTTTTAGCCTAAATCATTTATTTATCAAACATGTAAAACATTCCCTGGTGTCAGCTGCTCAAATGTATGTAAATTTGTCGTTTCTCTCAATTTTATAAAAATTGAAAATTGAATATTTTTGCATTTAGATTTTTATTCAGACAAAAGTCATCTTGTGCTCTGGAAATTTAGGTATTTTTTTTACTGTTTCATTATTGTTCAGTTGCAGTCCTGGATCCATATCTAGAAACAAAAAAACTAAAACAAAATTATAAGGGTTTTCCATCGATACAATGTGTCACTTAACTAAAGATTGGGGATTCACATCATGACATCATCAGGTTATTTTTACAGACTAGGGAAAGTCCCTCCAGAGCCACATAAGACATTATACACTTGGTGTCTGAGGTGTCTTCCTTGTGATGAGTAAACTGACCTTCAGGTGTAAGATCCGTAGAGTGCCCCTTTAAAGCTTCCTGCTCTCAGTGGTGGAGTTCACTGTTCTGTTGAAGTTCATTTTTACACAGTGTAAAGAGTAAAAAGACAAGAGGAGCCAAGACCAATGACATAAACCTAACAAAAAAAAACCAGAAGCATTAGCCTTTAATGACCCCGCCATCAGTCCCATCAGCACCCACGGGGCTCTCCTTACTGATCTGATGAGGATGATGATGACATTGATCCCTGTTTGTTTATCCTGACCCCTTTAAGCACATGTCTGTGTTATGCAATCCCTCCACCGACCCCCAGAGCTGCTTCCCAACATGCACTGGGGCCTTCCCTGCTCTGCCCATTGACTGATCTCCATTCACACGATTACCCAGCAGCCACTTTACACGAGTGTGTCCCTCTCAACGAGCGAGCGCTTAGCTGAAACAGATAAACACTGACATGGCACTGTACAGGCTCAGGGCATTCGCTCAACTGAACCAAGACACACTATGCGTACACACACACACACACACACACACTCTTTTGTTTGCCCATTCTTACCATCATGAGCAGATATTTTTACTTCCTCTCTTGGTCCTTCTCTGGATGCATCATACCGAGCCATTCTTGTAGATGACTGCAAGCACAATGGTGCTAATTAATGCTCAATTTCCCCTTTTCAAGATGGAGTCACAGATTTTTGTATTGGCTCTTAAATCAATACACATAATCAGAAGCAAATCTTCGCTTTCTGTCTGACTCTTATTCACACACTCTTTGTCTCTGGTCTTAATCTGTATCTCTCTGTTTCTTTATCTCTCGCTCTCTCTAACATGAAAAAAACCCGCTGTTTTCAGCGTATACAAACACAGTTCATCTAATTTGCTCCTTCACACACCCACGGTCCGGTCTTCTCCCCACAGGTAACAAACCAATGAGAAATTGCCAGCTATTGTGTGTAAAAACAAATACATGGTGTTCACAGCGATTGGTTAAATGACAACACTGTGTTCAGCCAAGGGTACATTCATCCCTGCCATCGATCACCGTGGTAATCACACCTCTTTAACAATGGCTTATTGCCATAACAATATCAATCCAAGACAGCGGCCGCCATTTTGAGGTGGTGACAGCTTCCATATGGCGGGATGTGAAGATATGCATGGATAATGAGGTTGCATGTGATTTGAAAAGAGAACAACGTATCCCAGCTTTTCGCCAATGCTCTCTGACAGCAGCCAACCGGTGCATTATCTTTGCTTGTCAGCCTGGGTAATCTGTATTACAGGCTTCTGGCTGCGCAGGGAGGCTGAGCAGGTTTCAGACAGCCCTGCTTAGGTGTCACCCAGTCGGTTTGTTTTTCCATGTTAAAGGCTCGGTGGATCAGTTGTTTGAGAAAAGAGGAGGTTGTCTTCTAATGTGGCCTTGTAAAAGAGAGGAACAGAAAGTACAACCCCAAGGGACGCTGCATGTCATAAATCTGGATGAGTCACTCATTGAAACATGCATGCAGGTTTTCAAAACAAGCTAAGAAATTCCCACACAGAGGGAAACTTTATGTGTTTCCAGCACAAATCATCTTCAATAATAATGTCATTGTTTCCATGGTGGAAGTGAGATCAGCTGTGTTCTGCTTAGTTTCAATTGTCTGACTTCATTTGAAGCGCTTCATGTATCAAATTCAGTATGAGACTAAAAGACTCATCATCATCTAAAAGACCCATGATCATCACTCATCATGGAGGATTGATTTCAGTATTGAAAATATAAGGGGAAATGATAGGACGAGCGCCTCAAAATTTGTCTGTCAGTGAGACAGAGAAACAAAGTGAGAGAGAGTGTGAGTGTCACTAAGCTCCACAGTGAAATGAGGCCAGTGTTGCTACAGGAATGGAAACTGTAACCCTAATCTCCAGATCATTCAATGTTATCACCTCATCTCCCTTTATCCCCTGCAACACCTTTGACCCAAAATAGCAGAGTACGCAATAGGACATACTGATCATCCATCAAATGTCACGGGAGTGGAGAATTAACATTGGGCTGTGTTTGATGTATCTCATTGCACAGGGAGGCACAGTTCAAAACAGGAGTCCTAAAAATCCACTTTTTGTTAAAGAAGGTGGAAAATTTAAGCAAATTTAGTGCCCATGCTTTGTAGTGATCTACGGATCTGTTCTAAATGTTGTGGTGCATTACATATAATAACTGTTATCTTGTTTAATCTCTCTAGTCTTTACCTAAATCTTGTATTTAAGCTCTTGTTTCGCCACACTGAGGCAGACATTGTTTAAAATAAGTGTTATTTTTTCAGCCCAAGGGTGAACCAGTGTTTTACAGCGATACGTTTTCCAATCCATGTTGCATAAAACACATTGTAATAGTATTTTCAAATACAATACGACCAGGATGTACCTACTGTACATAGGGCTTAGCGGTAAAGTGGCTGAGGCATAAATATGAAAATATTGTAACATATAAATGCTCAGTTCCAGTGATACAACAGCCACTGTTAACCACACAGAAGCAAACACACAAACAAAAGGAAAGAAAAACACCAAAAAGATGAATAAATACCACAAGGCCAGCATTTAACATTTCGCTAATGACATCGTAACAAGCTACGCCAAGTTCAGAGACTGTAAAGTAAATAGCTATAGCTAGTCAAGCTAACATAGCTTATTTAGCACTGAAACAAGCTAGCAACTCATCTCAAGTAGTCTAAGTTCAGTTCACCCAAAAGAAAACAATTGTACATTTCTTGTACATTACATCTACATTTGAGATTTCTTTCAAGAAAATGGAGGTGAATGGAATAAAGTGTAAGCTAGATATCAATAGGCTAGGACCAGTAACTAATTGCGTGCCATATAACCCGTTGTTTACACTCAAGTTTTTATATGGATTAAACAAACAACATATGAGGTGTTAATTAGTGAGCTATAGAGGTGCTGGCAGGTGTATTTTGTTGCCTTCGACAGAGCCAGGCTAGCTCTTTCCCCGTTTCCAGTCTTTCTGCTACGTTAACCCGAAGCTAACAGGAGCTAACCAGAATTCGAATAGCAACGCTTCACAAAATGTGAAATTATTCCACCAGATAGAGAATGAAACAGATTGAAGAGTTGATCATAGCTGCGTGTGTATCACCACATAACAATGGCTAACTCTCTGTGTCCTTAGCTGTGGAACAGTGGCCCCATTTATCCAGTGGCAGAAGCTTAAAGCTAAAGGATTAAAGTGCAGACTGTAATAATATAAGGGTTTTTACCTGTACTGCAGTGCAGAATGCAGAGGAGCTCGCCATGTGAAAGAATTTCATTAGTATTGGTTTCAGTGAAGCGGAGTGTCCTCGGTGCCATTTTCTCCCTGCCAAGAAACGTTTGGGTAGAGGGAAGTGGTGCAATGTTACAGAAGGTGTACAAACAAAGACAGTAAAATACCTGACACGCTACCCAGCTGCAGGGTAGTGCGTCTAGTGAGTCAACCACAGCTCAGATATAAGCTTTAAATATAGCTGCAGTATGACCAGTGGACAAAGATGAACTGTGCAGTCAGATCTGTTTATCATGACCTTCCCTTTGTGATGTTTCTGTATTTCGGAGGTAATATTTTTAAAATGTAAAACGATCCAGTTCAAACTCCACTGAATCATGCCTCTGTCATGGCCGTGTATCTGAGTGTTCGTTTTTCAAAATGAAGATCGTTGTTTCTTTTTCTCTTCATCCTCCCACGCACTCTTCTTCAGGGAAGACTTAGCACGGCTGCCAACAACAGAATAAGCAGCTTTATCGTCACAGGCAACACCCCTCCCCTCCCACCCCCATGTCATCCCACGTTTATTATTAGAACCAGTGTGCGAAAGAAGGAGGATTTCAGCAAGGTGGCACCTGGGTGAAAATGTCACGGTTCTCCGAGTGAGACGTTTATCACGCTGAGCACGAGAGGGTTAACCTGCTCATTTATTTATTTATTTCTGTCATATTTACAACCTATTCATCATTTAAATGCAGCCAGTTCTGCTCTTCACTTATCTCCCCATTTTCACCTGAGATCTTAAAAGCCATTTTCCTCCCTTTAAACATTGATCTAATGTTGGTCAACCTGCATTCAGATCACTTGTCCTGTCGACATCTCACCCTGCAGCTGTGCATTCACCATCCAGTTCACCCATCTGCACATGTGGGCTGGGTCTCTGTCATCCTGTAGCTTGTCTGGAAACAGGTTTTGCAGAGTGATCTTGACAAGACCACCGACAACTGTGAACAAGAGAACCATCTTTCTTTTGATCTGACGATGCATATCCAAAACAGAGAAATAATATTTTGACATTTGCTTTTCTTTTTTTTTTCAATTTTCACATAATATTCTTTTTGAGAAGCGCCATAAAGAAAAATCAATGACAGTATGCCAAAATTATTTCTTTCCTCTTGCTTTAAGCTTAAAGAAAAATGGGCTGAAAGAAGTTGTATGGAAGATCAATTTTCTCCAGGATTGTTTCATTTTCCCACAAAGAAAAATTATGCAATTAGAATTATTTATTATTTATATAATTGAGCAGATTATTCTCAAACTGCAGCCTCTCCAATGTGATAATTTGCTGTTTTTCTCTATTTTATATCATTAATCAAAAAAGATGTCACCTTTGGCTTTAGGTAACTGATGGCTATTTTACAGTCCAATCAATTCATCGAGTAAATAACTAGCAGATTAATCAGTTATGAAAATAACTGTTAGTTGTCACCTAAAATTTGACACACAGTGGCTTGAAAGTTGAAATGAAGTTGATTTTGCAGCCATGCAGACACAACCATAGGGCTTGAAGACAGCCTCTTTCTCCATTAGTCTCTTTGTTTTGGCTAAACAAAAATACATCCATCACCTAATGGCAGAGATCCCAGATTTAGATCATCACCAGCATCCAATCAATTGTTCTTTGGCCCAGGACATGTTTGTCTGTCCAATTTGGTGAAAATTCATTCATGATTTGTTTTCTCTTGATAGACAGCCAGTCGAACAAATGTAGTGTGCGAAAATAGCTTCTCTTGAAGTCGTGCTTAGTATTTTTATGCAGGGCTGTAGCCAGGAGTTTGGAAACACTGAGGTCATGAGCCCAACTTCCCCATTCTTCTCTAGCAAAATCTTAGTCTAGAAAACATCAGAAAAAAGTAAATTATCATTATTTATGTTCTGTTGTATTTTCTTGAAATTCTATCCACCTACACGATGATCTAAATGCTGCTTAAAATAACTCTACACTGCCAAGAATATAATTTTGTTGGAGATACAAAATCCCTGTATTTTTTTTTTTTTTTATTCATCTAATTTTTTATATGAGACTGTAAATAATATCAGAATCAGACCATTAAAGGAATAGTTTTACAGAGATAGACGAGAATATTGATACCTCTCTCATCTTCATCCATTAAATATGAGGCTACAGTCGGCAGGTGGTTAGCTTAGCCTAGCACAAAGACTGGAAACAGCTAGCCTGGCTTTGTTTGAAGGTCACAAAATACATTATTATTGTCACCTACTCTACATAAGCATAAAATAACCAAATACAAATGTGCGCAGAGTCCACAAAGACTAAAGACATTAAGGAATAAGTTCACTTGTTTTGATGGCTTTAGTATTTTTTTTTTATCTCTCCACACAACCTAACCTCCGTCGCTTCTCTCTCTCTGTATCTCTGTCTCTCCTCACAGGGACGTATATGTAGGAAAGCAGGGAAGTCCAAGAAAGCGTTTAGCCGTAAGGAAGCCGAGGCCACCTTCAAGTCCCTGGTGAAGACCCACGAGAAGTACGGTTGGGTGTCCCCACCCGTGTCTGACGGCTGAGTGCTCAGACGCCGACCCCCTGACCCCCGCGCTAGCCGGACAAACCCAGCTAGCCCCGACACGCAAAACGACACACCACGCTAACCCAACAATCTCTCATCTTTACCTTTTTGGTGTTTCACTCGAGTTTTCTCTTTTTCAGTTTTGTGTGTCTGTGTGACTATTTTTTGAAATTTTTTGTCCTCCATCTCCACCAAAACTCTCAGAGAGCAGACACACCATCGTCATCGTCACTCCTCCACCAAGAAGCGACTTTTCGGAGATTCTTTCCCCCATTTTGGAAAGGCCTGAGAGGGAGTTGTGTGTGTGTGTGTGTATGTGTGTGTGTGTCTGAATGTGTGTTTGTGTGTGTGTGTCTGTCACTCCATCGGACATCAGCTGGGAGTGTGTGCACGTGCATCGGAGTGTGCGTTACAGTGGTGGATTTCTTTCTTTTTGTTTTTTTGTTTTTTATTACCCCAACGCACACCCATGCACGTGCAGTCGGACAAATCAAACAGTGTGGACTTCTCCACCCATGTGAAAGACTACTAAATGAAGGAGACTCATCCCCCCCTTCTCCTGTTCTCACCATCCCATCCTCTCCTCTTTTTCCATCCCTTCGCTCCCTTCCTCTCTTTAGCAATGAACTGGCATTACTTCCCACGTCTCTCTCTGTAGCTGTCGGGTCATTTACATGTAAATGAAGCTGTTAATGTTTAATAGACGGGCAGCGCACTGGCGTTTATACTCACTCATTCACTCCTTCATTTCCCCTTTCTTTCGACTGTGCCGTTGCTCACAGTTCAATGCAACATGAAGATTGTAATTTACGTGGAGCTGTGCTCTCTCTCTCTCTTCTTTCTCTGTCTCTTTCTTTAGCTCGCTCGTTCACTTTGTTTCTCTTTCTTTCTCTCCGTCTCTTGTGGCTAAATTTAGAGCTCACTGTTGCGTAGATGGATATTGATTTCTATTGGAGAAAAAAAAAGTCACATGTTGCTTTATGCAGAGACTATGTATGATAAATAGAATGACAGTCAATCACCTCTCTTTCTTCCTCTCTCTACTCTCATGTTATCGTGTGTGTGTGTGTGTGTGTGTGTGTGTGTGTGTGTGTGTGTGTGTGTGTGTCTGTGTGTAGGAGAGGAAGAAGACTGTAATTCCCATGATTTAGATACCAGATGGTACAGCTGAAGGCCAGGCCTCAGTGTGTGTGTGTGTGTGTGTGTGTGTGTGTGTGTGTGAGCAAGGGAGATAACCCTTTAAACAGAGAAAAATATGATTTACTGTGAATGACACTAAGGCCTAAAGGGAGTGCTGTTTTTTTTTTTTTTTGCTAAATTACTTGTTGCCGTCTTGTTCCACTGTCTGTTAGCTCCTGATTATCACTGTAAACACGTGTGTGGCTGTGCGTGAATATCTCCGTGCACATAGCCTCGTCTCCGATCCATTTAAATAACTTTAAGTCAGTAGAAAATACACTTCGGACATTTAGCTATGCTCGAGACGCACACACACATTGAGTTCACCGACACACACACACACACACATATACACACCTGCGGCCTTGATGGCGGCGGTAACCACCCAGAAATGAAGACGGTGGATTGGAGTGGTACTTTAAATGAGTGTACGCTTCACCGCACGCCTGATTGATGTCTGCTGAGAGAAAGGCAATAGGGAGAGGAGAAGAAGAAGAAGAACAGAGGGAGAGGAGGGAATCTTGAGCTTTGATCACTACTGGCTGCTTCTCGGAAATGTCAGGCGGCTTGCAAAATGGCCGAAGACGGATATTATTTGCTCTACCCGCTGTAGTTACTTAGGAGACACAAAGTTCCTGAGTTCCAACCTTTGAAAGGACTTTATAAATATCTAATATTAGCTCTGGCGGGTGCAGCAGCATCATTCTCAATCAATTGGGCGCCCACTAGTCACATACTATCTGTCCGTCCAGTCCAGTGGGCTCCTTGTGTATTTGTTTTGCTATCTGCCAGTTAAATGTCAGAGGGAAAGCTGCTAATTGGTCTGACATTTCGGCAGCGCGTCATTAGAGGAGAGCAGTGAGAGCAGAAGGATGGAGGATGTCAAACCTCCCGCTTGGCACTGACATTTTGTCACTTTCCGCTCCTGCCCTGTTTTTTTTTTTTGTTTTGTTTTTTTTTGTGTATGTGTGTGAGAGGGGTTGGGGGAAGTAGGTAGGGCAGACAGTGGGTTAGGTGAGGGGAGGCAGGGGTATAGGAGCAGCTCGATGCCAGTCAGTCCTCTCAGCAGGCCCAGACGTAATCCTGGAGCAGGGTGTTTAAACCGCTGAGCTGACGCCAAGCCGCGCTTGCCAGCACGCCACATTTGGACCGGGTTGTGCTGCATCCCAAAGCCCCTTCCCCCCTTATGTTGCGTTTGTGGTCAATAACAATCGTCTGTCTGTCTGTGCGTGAGTGCATGTGTGAGCAAATATGTGTGTTATACTCCCATCATGAAAAAGAAAAAAAAAAAGGGAAAAAACAACAACAACACACCATCTGGTATGTGATCATGTACGAAAGCGTGTTAGTCCTCTTTGAATTTGGCTAGTCATTTCAGGGTCGATTGTATAGTGATCTCTTGGCTTGTCAGCGGAGAAAACTGTAAACTGAATTATTATTAAGACAAAATATCTCAAAAGCTCAGTGTTTGCTGGTTTCAAGAGAATAATTTTGTGATATAGTTTAGATTGGTAGTTTGCAGACACTAACTGGGTGAACTGATTATGTTGTATTATATCTGCATGTGATACGTGATTGGTAGCTAGCTACTGTATATCTTTTTTCAAGAAAAGCAAGAAAAAATATGGGGAAAAAAACAAAAATGCAAATGCTTTTCTTTTCTTGTTTTTTTTTTTGTTTTTTTTTTCCTTTTTTGGGTTCTGTACTGTATGTATTTTTTTCTTTCTTTCTAAGCGTCCCAAAAAATGTCACATTGTGTTATATGAATGTTTGTGTTTTAATTTATTTGTGGTTTGCCAAAATGAAGATTTGAAGCATGTTGCAGGTATTGTCACAAGAAAACGAGAAGAAAAAAAAAAAAACCTTACTAAGAATGATAGCCTATGTATTTTGTGTGATGGGGGAAGGTGTGTTTATTTGGGGGGATTTCAGGGAGTGAAAAAGGACAAAAGGTTGCAAAGCCTCGAGATTAAAAAAAGGAGTATTTCCTTTATTGGGAGTGCATCAAAGTGGAATCAAGAAAATTCCTACGCTCCTTTGAATACTTACTAGTCCCCTCCATGATGTCACTACTGTCCCTTCCCCTATGGTCGTGCTCTAGACAGTGATTTGGCTTGAGGGTAATGCAGTCAACACAAAGATCTGGACTAAAGTTCCCCTCAGTCGAAGATCTAGGATCAGTGTGACTTCCCTGTGCTTCAAATCTAACTCGTTAAGGGAATCTGACCTGTGATCAGTAACTCTGGGCTACTTCGTCGTCCCACTCCTGACTTGAGTGTTTGGTCGAGACCGAGGTCTTAAAAGTTCAAAAGGTGAAAGGTCGTTGCAAGACCAAACAGGAATGTGCAATAAAAGTTACAGCTTATTCAAACTCTGCTGATTTGGTTGTTTTGTTTCATATTGGCGTTACGAGCTATTGTCACATCTGGGACGCGTCTGAGCCTCTCTGCTACACATGCATATGTTTTAATGACCCACTTCAGGGCTGCTGTGTCCTCTGCCTGGCCCCTGCACCGTCCTACTTTCATTTACTGCAGTCAATAAGACAGTGTTTCGAACATCCTCAGTAAACACAGGCTGTAATCATCTGTCCCTGCTCTTGTGCTTTTATCAGACAGCCTCCAGCCTGATGGAAACACAGTGTTCCCTCTGCTTGTGTGTGGAGTGGTCCACTAACAGGCGCCTGTGTTGCGCCCGCTGACCCTGGCGCAACACAGGCGTCTGTAAGCGGATGTGTTAAAAAGAGTGTATGCACGGGTCATGGGGAGAGATTAAGGATGGATTCCAGCTGAACATAACATTCAAACAGTTAAGTGGAGCTAAAAGTATTTGTATTGTTAAAAAAAAAACATTTAAAGAGAAAATCAAGTCTTTATCTAGTTTAATTTATATAGTTTTAGGTAGTTAGAAGTCCAGCAGGCAAGGATGACATCATCCAATCAATGTAAATATCAATCATGATTTTGCAGACCGACTTTGGCCCAGTGACAACTGACATTTCTGGTGCATTACTTTTACTCCTAGAATAAAGTTGATGGGTAAAATGTAATCATAATTGAAGAATGGTGGACAAAACTTTGAAGAAAAACCTAGGCTGATTTATCACTGTGATCTATACTGAATTACACATAGTCTAATATATATGAAGAAAGTTTTCACTTATTTTACCTGAGTAGACCTCAGGACTGAGTGGGTGTGTAGAGGACTGATATTGTGGGTTGTGCTCCCCTAAGTTGTTGCACCTGTTTGGACAGGACACATCCTAATTAGTGCATGGTGACATCAGGTACCTCCACCCACCTCCCTCCTGAGCAGAGGACTAATGAGGTAACTGAAAACCACCTGTGTGAGTGTGCAGAGCATCTAAAACCAAACAAAACTGTGATGACAGAGTGGGAAAGCTTGATTTTCTTCTAGAGAAAAGCAGGGTTTTTTTTTTTCTTGTGATCCAGCACATTTGAAGTAAATGTCACCTGATTAAGTAGTTTGAACAAGGAAGTATTTGGCAAGATCTAAATCCAGTAACGTTTTGTTCGCAAAGACATTTTGAAAGGTCCCAGGAGGAAAAACACAGGTGTACATTATAAAAATTACCGATGGCTGCATTCCATTTAGCTGCTTCGTTAAAACAAACATTGTAAAAACCGACACGTTGCGGTTTTATCATGGGTAAAGTAAGGCCATGAAAACTGACACGGATACACACTCTAACATCAAAATTCAGTCTTTGTCAACACCTGTTCAGCAGGTGTTAGACAACACTCGTATCTTCTGAACTACACAAATTTGCAAAACCTAAATGAGCAAAAATACACCCAC